AGGTCAGGAAACTTCCTTATATACGTTCACAAGGTAAAAACACATTTTAACAATAAGTTCAACAGCTTATATTAGAATTTTCATGTTGCGTTTTTTTTTTTAATTTTGGCAAAATACGTCAACGCAAACATTTATTACTAAATGTTTGGTCCGGGATTTGACATCTGTACTTTGGTAATCCATACAGGGTGATGAAAAAATGATGCAAAATGGAAAAAAAAATGTTTAAACAATTTTTTCAACCAAATTTTTCAAAATATTCGATTTCCATTTTGATATATTTTATTGCAAATTTAATTGAAAATTTAAAATTTCAATAAAAATTATCAACAGTAAAAATAACATTTTTATTCGTATTCTAGCAAATTATTATTAAATTATTGTATCTCATTATTTAACTATTAGACAATCCAGTTCATTAAAACAAATCAGAATTACGAAGTTAATTTCAGCATTTTCAAAGTAATTTTTTCATCACCCTGTATTTGTTTTTCCACTACTTTAAAAATGATCTCAAATTGTTAGAGTTCAGAGACGTTGACACTAATATATTATATACAGGGTGAGTCACTAAATACGCGTTCCTTCATATCTTACTATTTATTATTAGTAATAGAACAAGGAAGGGTTTTGTGAGGACTATTAGTTTAAAATTCTTTTGAACTATTCAGAGTGTTCCGTTTCTAAGGTGTAACACAATTTAGTCTTTTTAAATGGAACAACCTATATATTTTTACATATTTCTATTGACCTCTTGTTAGGCTTTACAATCACAGTTTACTTTTGAAATTACGATGCGACGTTGCCACGTTATTCCCATTTTCTTAATTTTTTTAGCAATGAAAGGATACACGAAAAAAACACAGGTTATTTTTAAAATTTGTCTTACAACATTTTTTGGTATACATAAGATTAAACTTTCATAAACAGGCTGTTTATAAAAATGTTTTCATTATTACAATTTTCAAATATTGGTATTTCGGTTTTTCCAAATAGAACACCTATAGTTTATTAATGCATCTAATTCTATTTTTTGATCACTTTCTTTTTTGTAGAGTATTTGCTATATTTAAAGTTGATATTTACTGCGATTTTTTACTTTTTTAAGAGGCACATCGACATGTTAGAAGAATGAGGACAAAAAGTAGAGTAAGATACAGTAATAAAATACAGTGTGTTTCATTTGAAAAGAACTGAAATATCGATATTTGAAAACTGCAAAGTATTGTATTTTTTATGAATACGCTGTATATTAAAATTTGATTTAGTTGATACCGCAACAAAGCGCGAACGTTTATTTATTCTGCCACAAAATATTGTAAAATAGTCTTTTAAAATAACCTTATTTCGATTTTTTGTGAACCCCTCCATTGTCAAAAAATTTCACGAAAACTGGAATGATGGCAACGTCGCATCGGAATTTCAAAAATAAACTGCTAAGATAGAACTGAACAATATTAAGAGTAGTCACTACAATGACGAAAGGGTGGGTGAGCGGGGCTACTCTTTGCTCATGAAACTATAAAAAACTAAACTTGACCTACTTTTACAAAAAATGATAAAAATTTGGAAACATTACTAGCTTACTTATATGTACAAGGCAGGAATTTTGAACATCTTCCCTGGTGTTTAGTTAATTATGCTTTAATGGATTTTTTTTATTAGGTTTGTTTTTGTTTATAATTTATAAATGTCTTATTAAATGTTTTTTTTTTGGAAAAATTGAAAAACTTAAGTTTAAAATACGAAAAATTGAAATGTTAAAAGTCGAGGAGTCGAAAAATCCAGAACTCGAAAAATCGAAAAGTCGAAGTACTAAAAAATCCCAAACCTGAAATGTCGAAAAATTGAAAATTTGAAGAATCGAAAAATCGAAAAATAAAAAAATTGAGAATTTCGGAAATCGATATGTCGAGAAAGCAAAGTCGAAAAATCGCAAACGGAACTTAAAAAACCTGAAAAATCCAAAAATTCAAGAACTGAGGAACTGAACAATCGAAACTTTGGGAAGTCAAGAAATGGGAAAATCAAAAAATAGGTTAATTGTGAAATTCGAAAACTGAAAATTCAGAAACGTTAAAATTTGAAAAATTAAAAAATATTGTAGAAATGAAAAATCGAAAAATATAAAATTCAAAATATCGTAAAATTAAAAAATGGGGAAATCAAAACATCTAAAAATCAAAAAAATAAGAATTATAAAATCTAAAATTTAAAAATCGTAAAACTGAAAAATCAACAAATCGAGACATCGAAACTCGAAAATTTAAAAATTTGGAAAATTGAAAAATCGGAAAATTCAAAAATCGAAACATCGGAAAGTTAAAAAATCGAAATAGGACAAAAACGAAAAATTGAAAAGTTAAAAAAGTAAAAATTTATAAATAGACAGACTGAACAATCAAAACATCCGAATCTCGATAAATCTGGATCAAAAAAAAATTAAAAATCGAAAATTTCAAAATTCGGAAAATTGAAAAATTAAAACATAGAAGAACTTTAAACTTGAGAAATTGAAAAATCTAGAAATTTAAAAATTGAAAAATTAAAAATCGGAAAATTAAAATCAAAATAGTGGAAAAACCCAAAACTGATAGAAATATTCAAAAATTGACAAATAAAAAGTTGGGAAATTGAGAAATCGAAAAACCAAAGAACCAAGTCGAAAATAGAAAAATCGAAAAATTGAAGATGTCTAAAATTCAAAACTTCGAGAAGTCGAGAAATGCGAAAATCAAAAACAGATTAATTAAAAAACCGGAAAACTGAAAATTTAGCAACGTCAAAATTTGAAAAATTGAGAAATAGAAATGCTGAAGAAATGAAGAAATCGAGAAATTCAAGCATAAAAAATAAAAATTCGAAAATCTAAAATTCAAATGTTTTCATTTTAAATTTTTTCAGTTTCCTATTTTTCAACTTTTTGATGTTTGAGTTTTCAATTTTCAATTTTTCAATTTTTCATTTTTCAATTTTTAGATTTTTCAATTTTTCATTTCTTCAGTTTGCGATTTGCAGTTTTTCGTTTCGGTTTTCCATTCTCTGTATTTTTAAAATTGTTCTGTTTTTCAATGTTCTGATTATATAATTTTGCTTTTTTGTCAATGGGAAATTTTCAGATTTTCGATTTTCTATTTTTCGGATTTAAAATTACTCTGGTTTCCTATTTTTAATTTTTCGGTTTATAGATTTGTCAGTTTTGTAAACTGAAAACAGTGGTGAAAACTGCGTTCCAAAATTTCAAGAAAATTGGATTGACGTGGCAACGTCGCATCGGAATTTCAAAAGTAAACTGTGGTTGTAAAGCCCCAAAACGAGGTCAATCAAAACATAACAAAATATATAGGATGTTTCATTTTAAAAACCAAGTTTTGTGTTACGCCTTATTCTTTACTAAAGATGGAAAGAACATCAGAGACTAAACACTTTGAACAGCATACATTACAATTATTTTCGACTATACTTACTATTATTATTATTTATTTATTTTTTTTTTTTTTTTAATAAAATAACTTGTATACCTTTACATATTCTTATCTTTTCCTAGGCTTTATAACCATAATTTAGTCATGAAATTCCAATGCGACGTTGCCACGCTATTTCAATTTTTTTTTATTTTTTAGCAATGCAAGAATTCACAAAAAAAATCGCAATAACGTTATTTTTAAGATTTGTATTGCAATATTTTATAGACTGATAAAGAGAGGTATGTGCTTTGTTATAATATGAATTAAATAAAATTTTAATATACAAAGTGTTTATAAAAAGATGTCTCTCAATGTCTGTATGTCTCTTAAAATTTTCTTAAAAATCTCAGTAACTACTATCAACTTTTAATTCTATACTTAGTGAGCTGCAGTAATAAAATACAGGGTGTTGTATTGAAAAAAAAAACTGAACTATCGATATTTGAAAATTGTTACAATCAAAAAAGTGCTTGTTTTTAATTATCTTTTCACAAAATACATATTGTAACCCAAATTTTCAAAATACACCTTTGCGATTTTTTTTGTAATATTTTGACAAAAATTGGAACAACGAATCAAAATGTATAAAAATATATAGGGACGTTCAGAACCGAAGAAAGCTCTATCTGCATAACTTTAGACCAAGTTGTTTTTTAATATAACTTGTAATGAATAGTATATCAACGCAAAATAATAGTAGAACTTTTTTAAACCCGTCACATGAGCATATCATAATTAAATATTCAAATATAAAACAAACTTACTGTTACTTATTTATTATTTATAAAACTTTCGATTTTATTTTAATATTACAATAACAAACACTCCCCCGTAATCGACATTATGGGAACAACTAACAAGGTCAAAATGTTTCCGATATTTAAACAATACAACGGAAGTCTTAGTCACTTATGAACCTTATGATACACACAATAATCGTATTTTTCAGTATTATTGTTTATTATTACTATTTTTTTTTATTTTTCGTATATGCAGAATACTTCATTAATTATTATTATACCCACTCTAAATTCAGACGAACCTGCAGCCAATATTGCCGCTAACCACAGCCACCACAGTCGAAATTACTTGAAACAATTAATAAGGTAAACGCAAACACTTTGTTGTCAATTTATGGCAGCGTTAGGTCGTTCACTCCAAATTTATGACACCCTAACACTACAATTTTATGTTCATTACCTCATTAATATGTATATGTTACATTGTTATTTTTATTAAACCGTAAACTAATTTGTCAAAATAAAAAAAAAACGTTCTGAACGGAAAAATAAAACTCGTCATTCGGCGCGGACCACTATCGATGAAACACCCTGTATCACACCCACGTCACACTGAGCTCGCGCCGCCACTTTTTCTCAAAGAGCGCGTCAAAAATAAAAAACGAACTCATCCTCAAAGGAAACTGTTGCGTGCCTCGGTTCGAGAAATAGCTAATCCCCAGGAATTTTATTTTCCCGTCACGTCGTTCCGAGCTGAAATATCGCAACGAAAACCCGCACACCTTCCACTCACCTTCCGGATAAAGATTCTTGGAGAAGACGACATCGATGAAGGCGTTGGTGAAGTTGTACAACCCCGCCATCCCCTTCGGGTTGAAGTACGTATCACTGACATACGTCGCATTATCTGTCAAATTAGTGAACTCCGGCCGCTTGTCGTCCATCACCTCCGACAGGGCCCTGTCCAGGTTCTCGCTGATTTTGTTTATCCTCGTGGCGAAGCTCCCCGAGGAGAGCTCCACGGCGACGCAGAGGATCCCCGCGGCCACCAGGAAGCTCACTATGTTCACCTTTTGTCTTTCAGAGGCCATGACTGACACGGGATAATCAACTAATAACTAAAGACTGCTGTTATCGGATTCCCTCCATAATCCGCGATAAGATTAGTAGCGTTCTTTTTCGGTGGCAGCTGCGTCTAGATCTGCAACAGGAATGGGAAAAAATTAGCATCGGGACAGATGGCATCCGGAATTTAAATGGTGAGTGCGAGTGTGGCTACGATGAAGATAACGACTTGTATGTCATGGGTTTTAATTGACTCAATTAGACTCTTAAACGGGTTTTCTGAGGGAAAAACAAGTAGTGAGTTCATGATGAGTTATGTATTGTGAGCGGAAAGCAGTGGCCGGTTTAGAACTTGAGGAAAATTATTTGAAATGCGATTGCGACACGATTTGTGGATTCTTTACAGTCGAGCGAGTGTGCGGACTTTAATGTAATACAACACGTAACGCTGATTTCGAAAATACAGAAGTCGGGGTGAATTTATAATGTTCCTGATTGTGTGTTTTTCGCAATGATTGCTCTCGATAATCGAGTTATTGTTGAACAAATTTACTTTGTAAGTATTTCTGGCTGCTATTGAGGTTTCATAAATACTGATAACTTTTACGATGAATTATTTCTGGTAAATAAAGTGTAAACTGTGTACGTCAATAAAACACAAAATCAAGAGTGGATTGTGATAAGATCTGTGACTACATTTATTGTTTTAATGCCGTCTTTGGGGATTTTTATGCTTAAGAACATAAAAGTGATGTCTTTTATAGTAATAAATGTATTTATTACTCGTATACAGTGCGTAGGCAAAAACTGGAATACTGGTGTTTAAATTGTACTTGCGGTTTATGAATCCGTCTTAATTTTTTACTACATTTTACAGTAATAAAATACTTAATTCAAACATTTTGGTTTATTGTCAAAAAATCGACCACGCAAACGTTTAAGGTTATCGTAATCCTCCCAAAAAATTGATGACGTCATTTGAAAATTTTGCCTAATAAAATCAGAAAATATGCAAAATATGACTCTATATTTGTGGTTTATAAATGCACGCACAGTTTTTAGAATTACTTATACAGGGTGACCAATAATATTAATGACTGAGGCATCCTTTACATTTATTTTAACATTACGTACATATCTTTATTTTAAACTTATAAGGGTTATCAAAAGAAAATTCGCAAAATCAAATCTTGTAACTTTTCGAAAAATTTGAATTCATTTACCTTCTACCAATTTTTTGTTTTTTTATTTGTTTTAAATTTTCAATTTTTCGTTTCTTAAATTTTTCGTTTGTCAATTTTTCAATTTCGTAATTTTGCGAAATTCCGATTTTTCATTTTTCGATTTTTCAGCTTCTCAATTTTAAATTTTTTGATTTTTCAATTTTTCGTTTCCTCAATTTTTCAATGTTTCTTTTAATTTTCTATTTTTTTGGTTTATTCAATTTATCAAATTTTCATTTCTTGATTTTTACAATTCCTGATTTTCTGAATTCTTTAATTTTCAATTATTCGATTTTACAACACGCATTTCGTTTTTTCGATTTTGTATTTTTTCATCTTTCAAAGTTAATGTTTCAGTTTTTAAATTTTTCGTTTCTATAATTTTTCAGGTTTTTAGATTTTGCACAATTTTCATTTTATACTTCTTCACTTGAAAATCGAAAAATTAAAAACCGAAAAACTGAAAAAATAAAAAATTGCAAAATCCAAAAAGTGAAAATCGAAAAATTGCAAACCGAAGAACTTAAGAAACGAAAAATTATGTTTTCGACTTCCAAAATTTCCGTTTTTTCGTTTCTTCAATTGTGCGATATTCCAATTTTTCATTTTTCGATTTTTCAGTTTCTCAATTTTTAATTTTGCAATTCTTTAATTCTTCGTTTCCTCAGTTTGTCAAGTTCTTGATTTTTTCCCGCTTTTATAATTTTCATTTTCCCCATTTTATACCACAATTTTTCGATTTTTCATTTCCTTCAGATTTTCAATGATATTCTGGATTTTATATTTTTTTTTTAATCGATATTTCAAATTTTCATTCCTTGATTTTTTTCAATTCCTCGATTTTCCGATTTCTTTATTTTTCAATATTTCTATTTTACAATACGCATTTCGCTTTTTCGATTTTTAAAGTTTCTCAATTTTTATAATCTTTCGATTTTTAAATCTTTCCTTTCTATAATTTTTTAAGTTTCTGATTTCCAGTTTTTAGATTTTTCACAGTTTTCATTTTATACTTTTTCACTTGAAAATCGAAAAATTAAAAATCGAAAAACTGGAAAAACAAAAAATTGTAAAATCGAAAAATTGTAAATCGAGGAACTAAAGAAAGGAAAAGTTATTTTTTCGACTTCCAAAATTTTCAGTTCTTCGGTTCCTCAATTTTTCAAGTTCTTAATTTTTTCCCGCTTTTTTCTCGATTTTACACCACAATTTTTGGTTTTTCATCTCCTTCAGTTTTTCAATGTTTTTCCCGATTTTATAATTTTTTTTAATCGATTTTTCAAATTTTCATTCCTTTATTTTTTTCAATTCCTCGATTTTCCGATTTCTTTCTTTTTCAATATTTCGATTTTACAATGCGCATTTCGTTTTTTCGATTTTGTATTTTTTCGATCTTTCAAGTTTCTCAATTTTTAATCTTTCAATTTTTAAAGTATTGGTTTCTATAATTTTTCAAGTTTTTGATTTCCAGTTTTTAGATTTTTCACAGTTTTCATTTTAGACTTTTTCAGTTGAAAATCGAAAAATTTAAAATCGAAAAACTGAAAAAACAAAAAATTGTAAAATCGAAAAGCGGAAAATCGAAAAATTTTAAATCGAAGAACTAAAGAAACGAAAAAGCATGTTTTCGACTTTGAAAATTTTCATTTTTTCGTTTCTCCAATTTTTCAAGTTCTTCGTTTTTTTCCTTCTTTTATAATCTTCATTTTCTCGATTTTATACCACAAGTTTCCGGTTTCTCATTTCCTTTAGTTTTTTAATGTTTCTTCCGATTTTATAATTTTTTGGTTTATTCATTTTTTCAAAATTTCACTTCTTGATTTTTTCAATTCCTCGATTTTCCGATTTCCTTAATTTTCAGTACTTCCATTTCGTTTTTTCGATTTTGCACTTTTTCGATCTTTAAAGTTTCTCAATTTTTATAATCTTTCGATTTTTAAATTTGTCGTTTCTATAATTTTTCAAGTTTTTAATTTCCAGTTTTTAGATTTTTCAGTTGTCGTTTTATATTTTTTTCTTTTTTCACTCGAAAATCGAAAAATTTAAAGTCGAAAAACTAAGAAAAAGAAATATTGCAAAATCGAAAAGTGGAAAATCGAAAAATTGCAAATCGAAAAACTGAAGAAACGAAAAATAATTTTCTCGACTTCCAAAAATTTCAGTTTTTCGTTTCTTCAATTTTGCGGCTTTACAATTTTTTATTTTCCGATTTTTCAGTTTCCCAATTTTTAATTTTTTAATTTTTCAATTTTTCGTTTCCTCAATTTTTCAAGTTCTTGATTTTTGTTTTGTTTTTTCCGATTTTTTAATTTTCATTTTATCGCAATTTTTCGATTTTTAACTTTTCCTGTATTCAATTTTTCAAATCCTTGGTTTTTCAGTATTTTTGATTTTTAAGTTTCTCTTTCGTATTTTGAATTTTTCGTTTCTATAAATTTTTCAAGTTCTTGAATTTCGATTTTAAGGTTTTTCAAAGTTTGCATTTTATACTTTTCCGTTTTTCATTTTTCAATTTTATATTATGCAAATTTCCATATTTTTGAAAAATTGTAAATCTTAAGAAACGACAAATTGAAACATCGAAAAACTAAAAATCGAGAAACTTATAAATTAACAAATCGAAAAATTGGAAACCCACAAATTGTAAAGTTTAAAAATTATAGAAAGTTTCAACATCCAATAATTGGAAAATGGAATACTGAAAAGGTGAAAATTAAAAAAAAATTATAATTAACATTACATATTTAAAATGAATCTTAGAAAAATTGCAGACCATAAATTGAACAAACGGAAAATTGAAAAATTGTGAAGCTGAAAATTCTAAAACTGAAAAAACGAAAAATAAAAAATGTAGAATTGAAAAATCGAAAATTGACAACCGAAAAAGTGCAAAACCTAAAAACTGAAACATTCAAAAGTTGGAAAATCGAAAAACTGAAAAATTTTAAAATGAAAACTTGAAGAGTCCTAAAATTGAAAAATTGCAAATCGAAAAATTGAAGAACTGAAAACTTGAAAACATCGAAATTGAAAAAACAAAAAATTATCGGAACACTGAAAAATCAGAACATTGAAAAATTTAAAAATCGTAAAAAAACCTAAATGAAAAATTGCAAATCGAAAATTTGAAATGTAAACTTAATGAATCGAGAAATCGAAAATTTAAAAAATGAAAACTCGAGAAATTTTATGTGGAAAAATTGCAAAATATGTACAAAAATTGAAGAAACAAAAAAAATGAGAAATTGAAAAATCAAATAAGTAATGGAAAAAATAAAGAAAATTAAAAACCGAAATGAAAAATTGCGAATGGAAAAATAGGAAAATTAAATGTCGATAAATTAAAAAATTTAAAAATTGAAAAACTGAAAAATCGAATAAATGAAAGTTTCAAAATCCAATAATTGGAAAATGGAAAAATTCTAAAATCGCATTAACCTAAAAAATTATTTTTTATTTTAAATTATAATTATTATGTATTACATAATATTTAATATGAAATTTAGGAAAATTGCAGATCAAAAATTGAAGAAACGAAAAATAAAAAATCTGGAACTGAAAAATCGGAAAATTGAAAACCAAAAAATTGCAATTATTATCAAAAAACTGAAAAATTGAAAAATTAAAAACTGAAAACTCGTCAAATTGCAAAATCTAAAAACTGAAACATCAGTAAGTTGGAAAGTCGAATTTACTAATGAAAACTCAGACTCGTAAAACTGAAGCGGGAAAAAATAAAAAATTGCAAATGGAAAAATTGGAAGATTAAATGTCCAGAAATTAAAAAATTAAAAATTGAAAAACTGAAAAAGCGAATAACTGAAAAAGTTTCAAAATCCAATCATTGGAAAATGGAAAAATTCTAAAATCGCATTAACCTAAAAAAGTGAAAATTTTTAAAAAAATTATAATT